TTTTTTTTTTTTTTTTTTACCATGTTTTTGAAAGAAATCACACCAGTTTGTTCAGGGTTCAGAGGTTTAAATACTTGTGAAAAGCGTCTGAAAGCAGCACAAAGAAAGTGATTTCACTCCAGGTTTCAAAGGGTTAAGCTAAACCAACCTAACCACGTGGTTTTGTTGCCTGAACCTAAGGGAGTAAACCTCAGAAGAAAGTGTCTTACCTACATCCTAAGTTTATTTTGAAGAGAGACTATGCATTTAATGAGCGGAAACTGTATGTTTCCTGGGAAACAGAAGTTTATCATGAAGAGTCATAATGCATGTAAAAAGTGTAAATTGACACACTGTCCCTGAGCGCCCAAAACTGACTCTGGGGGGTATTTAGAGCATCATAGTTTGACGTGTAGGGCCACTGACCAAGGGTTGGTATTTGACAAGTTGGGAGTAAGACTGTGTTCCTAGGTCAAATTTTTGTTCCTGACCTGATAGTCCTCTCACTGCCACACAATTTGCAGCTAGTGTATACAGAAATGACTGATGGAAATGGCCATTCACTTAGTTTTTTTCCCCAAATTCAAAAGCTGATGCTATTTTCTTTATTGAGTAATATTTTCCTTCTGATCTTAGTCAGCCCATGCAAATGACTCAGTCTGTATTCTTAAAAGTCAGTGATTACAAAATAGGTCAGGCGACCAATAAATGTCACAAGTGATGCTGGAATTATGCTTCTCCAAAGATGCACGCAAACGTCTCTGCAGGCTCACACAGATAAGGCTGTTACAGTACATTAGTGTTACAGTAGGGTGCTACAGTAGCGGCTGGCAGAGGGGCCGACGTGCACACCTCCATAACAATAGTAGAACTATTGCTCTGTAATGAGACATCAAATATTAGCTTGACAGGAAATAATATTATAAGGATTTTGATATTTTGTGACAATACTTAGTCCTCAGAGTAGGAAGTGGCTTTGCACAGTGAAAATAAAAAGCAACATAAACCAAATCTGAAAATGTAATATATTATATATCACAAATGACTTTACAAATAATTTTCACTTATAATTTGGGCTAATTGGAGCATCCTTCCAAGTCAGGCCAGTGCAATCACCCTGCCTCAGCTCCCCTTGTGCTGTAACCATTTGGACAAAAAGCATGGTGTGATATGATGGCTTTCTACACTGCTCAGTATCTTAGAAGATGACGCAGAGGCTGAAGTCTATTCATTTCCATTATGAAATTGTATCATGGAGTTACATATGCTGAAAGTAGGGATGGAAATTTTATTTAGAACTTGACATTTAAATGTTAGTTATGTCACTGACTACCTACACAGACAAAGACTTCAGAGTGTATCAGTGGGCAGGCACAGAGATAGCAGGTTTGCACTAATAATGCCAGTCCAGCTGCTGTAGCCTCAGTATGAGATCAGGTTACTGAAACTGAAACAGACTGTCCCCACTTCAGACACACTGCATATCAGTGAGGTGCCTCTTTTTTTAAATTAAAGTATTGCTTACTCAGTTTGAGTACGAATGTGTCCAATTGTGCTAGGACTGTCACACACAAGTGAACACCAGATTCTGATGCAGAAACACCACACAAGCAGCGTCGTTTCTTACAGACCTTACAGCTCTCAAGTAACTGTAAAAAACTCTACCTCTGACTGTCTTTGCTGCACTGCATCCTCCAAGTATCTACCAAATCACACTGTACACCTTATACTGGATTAAAATGGTTACATCCATGACAGCTTTAATACCTCCATGACACTCAGCTTGCTCCCTGTCGTCTCCCTGCTCCCGCTCTCTCTCGTCAGGTGTCTTTCTAATAACCAGCGGACTGCTTTGGTGTTCTGTGGGTCACATTCACAGCTAAGAAAAATGGTTGTCAACGGTGTGAAATAAGGAGCTTTTGAAGAATATAGCCATTAATGAGCTGGCTTCTTTATTTCTGTCACTCTCAGAACTAGTTGTTCTGGGTAGATAGCAGTGGTTTATGTGTGTGTGTACTGTGGCACAGTGGTGTAGTGAGCCTCTGTTCTACTAGCTACTGTGCAGCCAAGTAGTTTTGCATACTAAAAACATGTGACAAATAAAATTAAGGTTGTCTAAAATGTCCCAGCTTTCAACAAAACAGTTAAATGGAATGATTAAATGTTTACTTGTTGTCCATTGTGCTCTTTATAAATGCCACACTCAGTTAAATTATTGACTACAAACTGGTAAAAGAATCTGCTAACGTTACCCTTGTATTGTTAGCTAGCAGTGCAGCACTAAGATGCAGTCAATCAACTTTTCGAATATCCATTAAATATTCACCTACTAGCATTCATTTTAACACCTCTCAAAAAACCCAGCGTGCATTTATAAACAAAAACATCTTGGAATAACAAAAGCATTTCACTGTGGTTATCTATGGAGATTAATCCCCTCATCATTTGTCTCCAGGCTTGCTCCGTCTCTCCTTTTCTGTCGGTTGCACTTTACCTTTTTGTAGGGCCCAAGTAGCTGTCTGAGATAAACCTCAGACTTGCAGTATACTCACTGAGCAGAGGCCTGGGAGAGTTGAGTAAAGCTGCATGTTCCCAGGGGATAAGGGCTATTTCACATCCTCAGAGGCCATCATTAGTAGAGCGCGCAAGGGCAGGACTGAGTTGGCTGAAGTCAAATGGATTTATATGGGCATGTTGACAGGTGAAAGGGATCACTGGCAAATTGTCTATGTTACAACAAGACTCTTTCCACTCCTAATTAATCTTGTATTGGCTGGGAAAATTCTTAATTAGTTTAGCTGTCAATCATTGGTCAACACAGATGGCCAGAGGCGTCTCTGTGTGTGTATGTGTGTGTTTCCTGTGCTGGAACAGAACAAATGTGGAGTGAAGATAGATGTGGTCTGGCAATGTGAGTCTAGAATATGTCAACTAAATATTTGTCAGTTGCTATAATTTTTTAGGCAGTGTAAGTACCTTTCCTTTCTCTCCCTAAAGGAGTCACGGTTCCCACTTCCATGTGAGCTTGCAATCTGACTTCTAACACCCTGAAATACACAGATACAATAATCTCCATTGGAAACTAGAGTGTTTCAGGAAGTTGCGTTCTTCCATTTAAACCTTCATTCATACCATTTCAGGAATTTAAGATCATAAACTTAATAGTCTTGAACCAGGACCTGCAGGACCAAGTTGCTCATGAAAAATAAGGTGTGCCAATCGCCAAACTCAGTATAGGCTACATTTGTAATTAAATCCAGATTCAGTCAGCTTTGCATGTTGTCTGCTGCTGTGTATATGTATATATACTATGCATACTGAGTATCTTGGGCAAAATGGGGTTTTTTTCTGGGATGAAATTGAAATTAGTTCTGCCTTATCTCATTTTCAGGTTGTAGCAAAATGGCTTCGGTATCAGCACATATACAGTATGAACAGCCTCAGGGCCAAAAACCTGGATCTGGATATCCCTTGTGTGTACCAGATTGGTGGATCAATTATACTGTGTAAACCTCCCCACGGGATGAGTTTTACATTCAATTCCCTCCAGTCTCCTATTCAGGGACTAGCATCGTGGCATCCTGTCTTTGCTCCTCATTCCTGTTAACCTGGTACAGTGTAGGGCTGTGTATTGGCATAAATCTGGTCATATGATGTGTATCACAATACAGGGGTAAAGATTCAATACATTGCAGTTTTGTAAGGTGATATATTGCAATTTTTGAAAATCGTATTTTTAGGAAAAACATCTTAGTGTAAAGAACACACAACACATGCATAAGAAGGTTTACTTTTACTACTTTTTGAAAAAATTGTCGCCTCATGGCAAGAGAGCTCCAGGTTCGAACTCGGGTGGGGGCATTGAATGCCGGGGTGGGGGAACCCCTCTGTGTGGAGCTTGCATGTTCGCCCCCTGTTGTTTTCTTCATGTACTCCGGCTTCCTCCCACAGTCCAAAGACATGCAGGTTAATTGGTGACTCTAACTTGGCCATAGGTGCGAATGTGAGTGCGAATGGTTTTCTTTCTCTATGAGTCATGTGACATCTATGACTTTTCAAGTTGACAAGGAGCACCTTTGGTCAACTGAGATTGTTTTTAAATGTGCTTTATAAATAAAGTTTGACTTGACTTGACTTGACCTCAATGCATCATGCTTCTGTTCAGGCCGGACATCTCATGTAAGGTGGAGCAGGTACAGCCTCGCCGCAGGTCTTCTGAAGGACTCATCTTCGTGGGCTAGTTGGGATGCAGCTGACATCTCCATCCCTTACTCACATTTACAAACTGCTTTAAATCACACAGACCTCATTCTTGTTCTCCACCTCAGGCGGGCTGCCCCCTCAGCTGAATTCTCAGTGGACCGGAGCCGCCACCTCATGTCCTTCCTGACCATGTTGGGGCCCAGTCCGGACTGGAATGTGGGTCTGTCTGCTGAGGACTTGTGTACCAAGGAGTGTGGCTGGGTACAGAGGGTGGTGCAGGACCTGATTCCCTGGGACGCAGGCACTGACAGTGGGGTGACATATGAGGTCAGTAAAAAACATTGTTCCATTTTAATATTAATTACCAAAAACTTTAGGTTATTAAAATGTTGTGTCACCTCAGAAAAAAAAAATTAAGAATGCTTCCTCCTTCTGTTGCACGTGCTTGTGTTATGTACAGTGACTGATCTGCTGTAACTTTGTGATGTTACATGACTCCTTGAGTGGAGCATTAGTTAACTGGTAATAGTTATATTTTAAACTGTAGCTTTATGGCCGAAACACATGGGACATGATCACGTCGCGATACATCTGCCTCAGCATGCCAGCAGCAGAGCGTGTCCATTATAATAAGCCGAAGCTGCTACACTGACCACGCTGACCACCCTGCGTGCTCACCCACGTGGCACCATGTTGCTCACCATCAATTAGTCTATTTATTTTTCCCTGCATGCAGCTCTGTGGCTTTCCAACAGGTAAAACCTAAACAAAACAGGGTAAAAATGAGTTCAGTCTAATTAAAAATGATAAAAATAAATACCTCATTGTGCCAGAGATGATGCAGAGCAACCTCCTGTGTGTGGTATTACAGTTCACATTAAAATAAATCACTGAAATCAGTGCATCCTGTAGTTAGAACGATTAAGGTAATTTATTCAGTACCAGTAAATGTTGCCTACACTTCCAAACCCTCCATAACCAACTGCATTATCACTTGGTAAAACTCAGTGCATGAACAGTGAAGCTGGCAGCAACCACACCCTGCAAAGACCTTGCTCTGCTCTGCCTACGTGACATGTCGCATCTGTGCCGCATGTAGCTCAGCTGTTAGAGTCATTGAAAGTGCCTTAGTACAAATTTTAATTGACAAGTAAATTTGACACATTACTTTTTTTTTTTTTAAATATATTACATTTTAAAAATCACCAATGACCGTTATTTTAACTCAAAGACAAGGGGGGAAGTAGCTCTCTATCATCTTTGTGCAATAAAAACAGTAGTGTCCCTCTAAATGCGTGTTTCAACTCAGGTTACAACCCCACAATCCCACAGCAATCACAGCCTTCTGCAAACCGCTGTTCTCTCCACCTTTTACCCCCTGGATAACCTTCCTCCTCACTCTAGTCACCAGCTGAGTCTTCCCTTCACACTCGCATTTTGACCTTGTCATCACGCCAACCTCTTCATCTGCCTGTCTGCTCATATTCACAATCATTCCCCCTCTCACCTCCTCACATACTGCCAGTCTGCGACAATTGTCATCATCACAAGTGTCATCACCCAACCAATTCTCCTTTAACAGCCTTGAATGTCTCCCCCTCCCGCCTTCACCCTGAGGTGCTGTCTGCTGTGTGCTCACTGTCTCCAGTCAGCGCCAACAGAATAGGCTGTGCGTGCGCATGTTTGACCAAACTCTGTGACGACATGTGTGAAACCTTTGGCTGATCTCTCGGAGCTCGTAGATGAACCCACTGAACTGTGTTCTCTTGCTTGTTTTGGCCAGCCTGAAGAATAACTTCACTCTTCCTCTTCCCCTTCTCTGTCTCTCTCTCACTCACACACTTCATGGCTCACACTGACTAAATCGAACTTTACTGTAAGGGCAAGTCAGGCATATTCAGGAATTTTCAGTCTGTTTTCTTTTTGACTCTGAATACTATTGACTAGACAGAGTGTGTCTTCTGTTAAGAGACTAAAAGGAACTCTCAAAAAGTTTGTTTACACAGTTTTTTTTTCTTGGTATACCATTTCAGCTTGCCAACTCCGTAATCCTTAACAACAACAAAAACATGTCAGAGGAAAACATCTGTAAAATCATTTGTAAGCTGAAAATGCAAATGAAAATTTGAATTTTATGAAGCAGGAGTTTTTCCCCTGCAGGGAAAAGACATAAGGCAAAGACACTCAGTGTTAGGCTGTGATAAAGGCAATTATGGTACTTTAAAACCTCAACATCAGATTACTGCAGTTAGCATCAAAAATGGTATGGTTATGGTGTACTTAAAGGGATACTTTGCTGATTTTCAACCAGCTTTGTATCATAAAAATAAGGATAGTATGTGTGAATTAATTATGGTAAACTTCCCTTTATCTGCCAAGATGCTCCTAGTCTCGCCACCAGACAATCAGAGATCTCCACCTTCTGATAGTCTGGGGACACTACTTTCTAAAGTGTGTTTAACACACCAGCGAAAACGGCCAGCAACAAAGCAACGCCTCTTGCATTTTTGAAAAGGACACGCCTTCTCGGAAACGTGCGCTCCCCCTTTTCTCGTCTGCAAGGAAACAAACACACAGAGAGCTTGAAAATGGATGCCGAGAGATTAAACTCCGTTTTATCAAACATGTGCTCATCCGTGAAGAAAATATTTTTTCCAGCGGATGTCTTAGTTACAACATTATTGAGCTAACTGGAGTAGTTTCATGTCGTATCCGACAACGGGAGGCTTTTAACAGATGACGTCCTGATGTTAGCATTGCTGCTAATGTTAGCTGTCCCTGTCAGCTGCAGCCACTGATGCTTTCTAGACATCGTGATTTCCCAAAACTGAATAAATACCACACATAGCAACACAAAACTGCTTTGCTAGCTCAATCATGTTGTAACTAAGATATCCGCTGGAAAAAATATTTTTTTCACGGACCATTTAATGAGTTATTACCTATTACAGACACCGCTAACGGCTAAGTAATAGTAATGTTTGTTCAATCATTGTGTTTATAGACTTCACAAACATCGGATTAGTCTAAACGGTGATACAGTGATGTGAAAAATGTGATATACATACATATATATATATATATATATATATATATATAGCTAAAAGCTCTGCTGGTTTTCTACCCGGAAGTATTTGTAAACAACAAGGCGATTCCCTCTATAGTCCGGCCGGATGGATGAGTCATGGCCTTGTAAAAGATTATGTTTGTTTCTTTTAGTTGGTGAGAATGTGTCGCCGCAAATGCGACAAACATCCACTAACTTTGACGGTGTTTTCTGCGAGCGCGGCTGAGCCATTTTGTACCGCTACATGTGTTTCTAGTGGGACTATGTTTACAAGCACGAGTTCAGCGAGCCACCGAAGGACCGCCCTGCAGATTTACTATTGGTTCTGCAACGTAGGGAGTTTTTTTAAACTCTGAAATTGTATCCGCCCATCTAAACACAAAATCAGGGAGAAAGTCATCAGTCTTTAGTTAAGCAATGAGTCTAAAGACTGACTTGTGAGTCTAAGATGCTCCCTGCTCCCCTCCCAGTGAACCTCTGCTTATGACACAAAACACATCTTGGGCTGTTGCTCAAACTACAGGCTGTACTTCTGCATTTTCATATTGCCCACCACCCATGCCGGCACCGTGGGACACAAAGAGTATAGAAGTGGATCAACAGACAGACCCACCCCCTCTCTCTGTCTCTAACTCCAACCAAAGTCCAATGGAACGGTATAACTAGACTGATCGAAGATAAACTAACATTATGGTGCTGTACCACCTGTTTCTCACCTAGAATGTTTCAGAAACATATTTTAGTGACCTGTTTAGCTGTAAAAGCGAGAGTTTGTGAGAACAGGAAGTGGGCGCCATACTGTTTTGTGTATTGTAGAAATGAGATCAAATGATCAAACTAGGCAGCGCTGATCAAATATAAACCAAGATTCTGTCCCTGCCTATTTCTCACATCAAATGTTTTCAGAAACATGTTTTAGGTCACCATTTAACTGCCATACAAGTTTGTTTGTTAACAGCTGGCTGCCATTGTGTCAAACGGGCAACGTTTGCATTACATCACCCACCAGTGCAAGCGTTTATTGGTCCGGTGTGGTGCTGTGCAGTTTGATAGTTGTTCTTGAGCTAAAGAGAATGCCACAATCGTTTTTCTCTGTTTTCTCTGATCATAAAACACCAGATTCAAAAGTGTCTGTGTCCTTCTACTGGATAGATGGCCTAGTTTTACGAAAGGACCGTCTTTCCAAACACAGGATACTGAAAGGCGAGGAGACAGGGATGAAGTAGAAACAGTGGACCTTGTGCATGAATGTTTTTTCATTTTTCTCTTATATTTGCTCTTGCACTCAGCAATGAGAGGACAATAAAAAACTTACATGGAATCGATCACCCAAGAGCTCAGTTGGATGAGCAGGTGTCCCACGAACAAAGGCAGCGTCCTTGCTGCAGTGGCCGCAGGTTTGAATCTAGCCTGTAGCTGCAAGTCTTCCTTTCACACTCTCCCCCTTTCACACTTAAACTGTCCTGTTGAATGAAGGCAAAAGAAAAAGAAGAAACTTGCGTGGAATCTATGAATCTTGCGCTAAGCCAAGTCCAAGCCAAATCCACAGAGTACGTTAATGAATTGTATTTGATCTTAAATTCGATGCATCTGCCAGGCACTTTGCAATTAGCATAGGGAAATGCCCCGGTGAACACATAAGGGCAGCACAGCTAAGTGCCGTGTGCAAGTCACAAACCAATCAGCCACTGAGACTTGACGGGTAGCATCACATTCCAAACTAAGGCCACCTCTTAGTGTGTGTGTGTGTGTGTGTGTGTGTGTGTGTGTGTGTGTGTCTGCAGGAATATTGATCTGAAGTTTACTTACTAAAATTGCTTTTTCATCATCTTTATTAATATATCACAGCACAAAACTCAAGTTGGCTTCTGTGTGTATTGGCTTCTGTGTGTATTGGCTTCTGTGTGTATTGGCTTACGTGTGGTCTAGGGCACTCTAAAATTTTCATCTTACCTCAGAACAAGGGGGAAGTACGCAGGTATTCATGAATGCCACAAAGGTTCCAAGTCTCACATGTACAATTTAAAATCAAATCTGTGCATATGCACAATTCATACATAAGGCCCATTGTATTTATTTTACATGGAAGGTGGGGAAAAGAAAATGCAGGCGTGGGGAATCTTGGGCAGGTAACTGGGAAACTGGGGTAGTGACTGGGGCTGGAAGCTGTTTAGAGTGGGGGTCCAGGGAAGAGCAGCAGGAGACGGGTCCAGAGCCAGAGCAGACAGAACTGCAGGGAACAGGAGACAGAATTAGGCAAGGATAAACATGCAACAACAAGAAACCAGGATAAATGCAGGGGAAGTGGGTTGAAGCGTAGCAACAGTGACGGGTAGCAGAGCCTACAGCCTGCCAACAAGTGGGTGAAGAGCCGGGGTTGATTTACAGCCCAGATAATGAGCTGATCATTGGCAGATGTGAAAGCAGAGGGAGGTGATGAGCCGATTGCTGGCAGGTGTTAAGGTAGACTGGGTCCATGTGGATGACAGGACAGGAACAGACAAAGGGACACATACACAGATAAACTGGGGGCATGGAAGACATGAGGAGTGGGGAGCACTGGAAAACACAAGGAAGAGACAGGAATGCGGCCGTGGCCTTGACATCGCTCTTCTTCTGGGATTCAGAGGCCGTTTACACGTCACCGGCTATTTTCATAAACGGACATTTCACCGTCTCCGTTTTCAAAAAGATCTTTGTTTACACTTACCCGTGTATATATACACAAGAGCATGCCAAACCTGTAGGTGGCAGTGTAACGAGAAGCTCAAGCCTTCCATGTATCCATTGTCACCATAGCAACATAGGTCGCACTTTTTACACAGGCGCAAGTTCCGGCGCATAATGTGACGTGGGCTGCCTATAACTCCATTTATCTGCGTTTATCTCAGTTTACATGCAAACGCGCAACCGGAGTTTTCCAAAATCTCCACTCTGGCCGGAGTTTTTAGAAAGACTCGTTTTCAGAGGAGAAATCTCCGTTTGCGTGTAAACGAAGGGCACAAACGAAGGAAGATGTCTCCGTTTATCAAAATCACCGTGTACGTGTAAACGGCCTCTCATATCTCGTTCAAATCAAAAACACGCTTCTTATAACTCCAGGTCCTGTCTGAGAATCAACATGTGTCTAAGTTGTCTTCAGGATCAAATTAATCCAGTTATAGTTGCCTGTAACACCCAGTACACAGTACTCTTAATCTCAGGTACATACTCATGCCCTTTATTTCCAAATACATGACTTTCAATAAAATGAAAAGACTCCCAGGAGTTTACACAGCTGAAATCTCAAAGATGTAGATATTAAATGCCAACAGAACAAATATTGCCCTGTCTTTAAATAACAACTTGCCCAAACCGCACTTTCCATTTAGTTGAGGATAATGGCAGAACACACACGTATCATGTTTAAGCTTTCCAGAAAGATCAATGAAAGAAACCCTCTATCTAAAAATACATTGTGCAGCAGAGGAGGATAGTGGAACGGACGCTATTCTGGAAGTAGGGTGGGACTTTGGCTCTGTTACAAAACTGTTAAAGGCACAGGCCTGTAACAGAATAATGAGAGCCATTCTCTGTGCTATTACTTTTACTGTATCTTTTAATTAGTGGCCACTCATTACCCTTCTCCTATCTCCCTCTCGCTCACAAACACAAACAGAACGGCTCTTTGCCTGAGTTTTTTTTTTTCTCCATTTGGCCTCAGTGGGGGGTGAAGGATGAGCTGGTCTTCTGCCTCCAGACAGCCTCTGGCAGTGGTGCTTCTATCAACCCCATGCTGGCAGACCTTTACTGTTGACTAATAAGAGCATCTACAATATAAACTACAGCGCTCCTCCGCAGCTGCTCACCGACTTTGTGACTTGTCCTTTGTGTGACTTGCGCTTTGTGTAACTTTGAGTGACTTTGTGCTCGTTGTAATGTATTTTTCAAACAAATCCTGACAGTGTGTTATTTTGGAAATCCCAAAGATCCATGGCTTTGAGTTTTTTATTTTTTGTCTTTCTGTGTGCTTCTTTTAGTCTCCCAACAAGCCCATAGAGCCCCAGGACAAGATCCGTCCTCTGACCAGTCTGGATCATCCACAGAGCCCTTTCTATGATCCTGAAGGGGGCGCCATCACGCCTGTGGCCAGGGTGGTTGTGGAACGCATCGCCAGAAAGGTCTGACTGTTTTCCATAATGTGGATTCTTTGTAGCCTTTGTAGGATAATGATCATAATGCAGGCAATTGCATCATGGCAGCATATTCTAACAGATAATGGCAGACATTTAGACTATCACAGTGTTTGCAGTTGATAACCATAATGATATACTAAAACGAAAATGTCCTTGTTTGGTCTGTTCTGCTTTGATTGCTTCTCTTAAAGTTTTTCTCTTTCCATAGTCACTGATACCTTTGCTTTATTTGTAAGTTGATCCTCCAGTACTTCCAGCTCAGCTCTGCACCTCCTCGTCACAAATAATGCTTAGTTCACTCTCAACCCTCTTGATTCAATGCTACACTAATAAATCAGCCAAATTAGATTAACATAAAAAAGAAGAGGCATCCTTTACTATGTGCTGTCATTGTGAAGTATAGATGCCTTTAAAAGCTTTAAAAACAGAGACAAAGTGGAGGGGAGAGACGCCTTTCCTCTTTCTTTATCACTGCTCAGCAGGTACGAGGGTGAGTTCAGTCCTGTCCATCAATACAGGAATTGATCAGAGCCGGATGTACTACCTGTATTTGTGGTGTCTGGGTGGGAGGAGTGTTTCACAAGGTGAAAAGAAATCACTGGGATACCTGTCAACAAGTTTTATTACTGCTTTCCAGATTGAGCGAAAATGAAATATAACCTTATCAAAATATACTTTATCTTACAAAATGTCATTTAGGGGCAATTTGAGATACAGACAGTTGAGCACAACAAAACAGACACCCAGTATCCAGTATCACACAATCAGTACGTTTACATGAATGCAGTAGTCATGCTACGCTCATAGCTCGGCTAATCAGTCAAGTCGGACTTCTCGTCTTGTCTGAGTATACATGCAGAAGACAAAATCGAATTTCTGACCAAGTACGTCTGACTCCGCATTGATAGGCGGCGCTGTGTCCTTTTTAATATAGCACATATTGAACTAGTTTTGGTTCTTTTTTAGAAACTTTTTTAAATAAATCCGCATTTAGCAATTTCCTACCATCCATAAACTTCAAAATGTTTAGCTCCTTTAGCTGTCGGAGCATGAATGTAGTTTCCTTGTCCATCCAGAATTGTGTCTTTTGCTTCTCGGTCGCCATGGTGTTTATTTGTTTGTTTTTCTGGGAGTTACTGCACTGCTGCTACGTCATCTTCTTCTTCCGGGTGAAAGCCCGCGAAAGAAAAAGTGGTGCGTGTGCAGAACGCCGAGTCCAACTCCAGCTGGACTATGTGGTCCAATTTCAGTCGGACTAAGCTGTTTACATGCATTTAAAAGTCCAGTTTCAGTTGGACTAAGCCAATAATTCGATTTTCTCAAGCTGCATGTAAACGTACTGACTGTCAGAGGTAAATCATGGACATTAAAAGTAATAGCAGACAGGACAAAGGACGATCTTTAATGTTATGCTGCATTTAGCAAGGCAAAATTTCAGCCCTGATGGAAGCATCTGAAACTCAACAAAGAGGGGATGTTGGGAGTCTGAGACTACAGATCAAGCTTTAGAGGTCACCCTCGCTTCATACAGATGCTGAAAGTTATTAAAAGTAGATCTAACAACCCATTTTTTATAACTTGTCCTTGTTTCTAAGGCTCAGATTACCAAACCAACAGACAATGTTAAAAGAAAGAACAGACTTAATAAAAGCAGAATAGAACATTTTCATGATGGTCCTATCTACATCAGAACTCTTCAGCTTCCTTAAAAAGAATAGGCATTGGTTTGCCTTCTTAGAGATGCCGTCAGTGTTCACATCAAAATTCAACTTGTCATCTAAGACACTGCACTGCTGTTTCCAGTTTTCAGTAGTGCAGTTCAGTTTAAAGTATATCAAACAACTCCTCTTCAAAGTAGATAGGGTATAATTACAAAAATGGATATGAAGGGTGGTGATGGGTAACATTTTGGCTAATCATCACCAGTGTCAATTATTCCTAATATATATCAAGAATAATAAATGACATAATGCCTCAAATGCATTGTGATGCAGCTTTTAAAAGGACTTTAAACAATGGTAAAATGAAATAAAAAACGACACAACACATTAAAAGTGAATTTACAAATGTATGGCAGGTACTAAATGTCACTCTCTATGAAATATGTAAACTTATTCTAATTATAATTTGATGGGTGGTGAAACACGTTCCCTGGGAACTGGCTGAAAATATGAAAGGGATAAAAGGTTAGCAGTCCTTCAGTGGCATCTAGAGGCAGCTGTGGGGAGTTTACTCTGTGAGCCACAATCCATCTTTCATCTTTTACTTACACACATGCCCACACACTCAGTTTACACTTGCAGAACTGCAAAATGCATAGACTTTCAATCTTTTACAGTATGTCTCTCACTTTGAATCGCGTGGAAACCACAACTAAGAGAGTTTGTAAGCTCACACTGAGCTTCTCATTTGCCGGCTGTCACTCCCTCTGATCGCTATCAGAGACAGAGGGATTTAAACAGAGCAAACAGCAAACCGAAGCAATGTAGCACCTACAGAGTGCTGAAGTGTGTTATAACATTTCTGTGTGTGTGTCTGCAGGGCGAACAGTGCAACATTGTGCCGGACAATGTGGATGACATTGTAGCAGATATTGCCCAGGAGGAAAAAGAGGAAGGTCTGGATCCTCCTCCCATTTCTCTCTCTGACACACACACACACACACACACACACAATAAAATAAATAGTTTACAGTGTTAGGCAATTACAGTATCTTTATTCCCTTCACCATGTTGCAGACGACACCCCTGAGACGTGTATCTACTCCAACTGGTCTCCATGGTCCGCCTGCAGCTCGGCCACTTGTGAGAAGGGCAAGCGGATGAGGCAGAGGATGCTGAAGGCCCAGTTGGACCTTAGTGTGCCCTGCCCACACACCCAGGATTTTGAGCCTTGCATGGGGCCTGGATGCAGTGATGAGGGTGAGCATCTATCTATGAAGACGCAAAAGACATCTGAATGAATGAGAGTTTTCTAAAAGTTTGCCATCTCCCAAGCATCATTTTCAGAAATGTTAGAATCATGACTTTAATTGGTGTTTTGACACTCTAAAAAGTGAGGGTATGTTTAAAAGCTTTATTATCGTAGGCCATCGTTAATACACAAGGTACCATTCTACTGCAGCGATGAATCGAGAGCAGAAGGAGAAGCAAGGAGAGCGCTTTATGGCAGGCTTTTAAATTTTATGGCAACTGAAGTTAAATTGCATGAGGCCATTAAATATATTTTTTAAGATGTTAAGACAAAAAGACATTATGTCTGCTGGTTGTTCAAGATTTATATTCTACTCTTTCCATCATCTCTGTTAATGTAGCTTTCTGTCTCACCTCAATCATCTTGGCCCCAGAGGCAGCAGGTTGGAGATCAGTCAGTCTGTCACTCATTGCGTTACAGCGGTTTGGTCTTATCTAATGCTTAATGTAATGACTTCACTGATCCCTTGACCTTGGGTTTCCTTTGACCAATATGTCCATGGCAAGTATGGATGATTTATATCAATCATTTCACATAGATGATTGAATGACATATTGAGGAAACCAAACGTGGTTACCCGTTAAGGTTGATCAGTAGGTTGGATTTTCCTATTAGTATTGTCAGATTCATAGCGGACAGATTGGGCTTTTAGAGGTTAATTATTTGTGTCATGTTTTACACCTTCAATGCAGAATTTGCAGAAATTTAAAGATGCTTACTTATGATAACATGGTTAAATTTATTTATATAACATCTCTTAAAACGACGCTACAAAGTGCTTCACGGCAGGGAAAACGAACAGTTCATCATTAACAGTTCAATAAAAGCAGGCAAATAAAAGGAGAAAATGAAATAGAATAAAATATGCCACAATAAAACCGCTCATTTGTTCCAATTAACTGTGCTGAGAAAATAACTGCTGCTTCCTCCTGCCTGTGGGTGCACATAACACATGCACACTGGTGTCCTTCTTCAGCGTAGCCTGGCTGACTGCCTACACACATTATCAATGGCACGAAAATAACATCCTGGAGAGACTATGTATAAAACAGGCTGTAATTCCTACATGGTTCATCTGATGTGGATATAAGCACCCTGAAATTAAAGCTGAAAGTTGGCATTTTAACCTCACAACCACTGTTTCATTTCAAATCCACTGAGCTGGAGTACAGATCCAGTGCAACAGGAAAATATGGCACTGTCCTGATTTTTACCCTCTGCTGCTTCACCTGAACACCCAAGCTGAAATGCTGCTGGACCATGGACCTATTCCCTTTATTAGTCCATTTTTAAATCTCCAAATAATTAATTTATTTACCATTTTATTTCACTTTCACATTAGAGAATGACAGGACAAGTGGGTGCAGGGGAACAGAGGTAGAAACATAGTGTGAAAGGCATTATTTGATGCCCATCACAATCTGATGAGTCCCAACAGCAGTGGTGATATTTAAAGGAACACTTCACCTGCAAAATGACCACATAGTAAATCAGTTAGTCATGCCGTGTTAACCTTGAATCCCTGAAGAAAACTTGAATGTCTCAATGCTAAATGCCAACATACTGCTGTATTGATTACTCTGGGGACCTCTCTTAACAACAGCAAAACTACATCAAAACATCCATTCATAAACTTGTGCAGTATAATCCAATTCTCATGTATGCAGTTATATGCTCGGTACTTCCTAAACACATGCATTAACACTGAAGAACCTTAGTACTGGAGTCTGGCTTTAAAGAGAGCATAGGTAAGTTTCACTTTCAGTTCAGTCAGGAAAGACTTGTTTTTATGGTAAAAGAATATTTATTACATGTGAACGTATGAATAAGAATGTGGAAAGGCGATTAGACCCTGAAGAGATGGTTTGATTTAAGGAGGGTGATGAATCCATAGTTGAATAGGGAACAACAACAGGTGATGAAGATGAGATGAGAGGAAGATGGAGAAGTGCTGATGATCTGGATGAGTGGAGGAATGTGTCTTTGAGAGCTTGTCCTGGACTCTGGATATGATGGCTGGAGGTGACCAGGGTGGAGGAGGGTGCGAAGATTCTGCCTAAAATGATGGCTGGCATCAGCAGAAGAGAGAGCAGATTTAAAATTTTGCAGTGGCATCCTGATTGGCTGAGAGATCGTGGCAAAGTGTGATTGGATGAACACCCATAGCTGATTAGAGGGAGTAATGAGAGTGGGATGGAGAGAAATGTGAAAGGGTGAGCACAAAGGTCTTCCTGATTGAACTTACACTGAGCTTCATTTCAGTTTTAAATAGTAATGTTTAAGTGGAAATGCATGATATGGGAAGTACTGAGAATATAACTGGATAAATGCAACTGGATTATATTGCAGGAGTTGTGTGAGAGTTTGTAAACATGGTCCCCAAACAACCAATAAATCAATATGTTCTCAGTTTTACATGGAGGAATGTCAGCGTGCACTGGCATTTCTGCACAGATAGCTGGTGATTATTGTAAAGAACTGTGTTTGGAAGAACTGACCCTTTAATACTCAAATTTCTGCCAACTATTGCCATCAGGTATCGGTGGACAATTGACCTTTCGCTAAGCCCCGTCCCTTTGTGATGGTCCAACAAGCTGTCGGAGTAAGCATGGAGCCCACACTGTAACTAACTGCACTCCCTGAAGAAATATGATCATATTTTTGGAAAAATGAAAGAGTGATTCCAGAGAGAAGCAGACAGAGGGGTCTACAGTCTGTGTTTGAAGGATATATCCAGGATGTCAAACTGACTCAGCAGCAACAACAGGTTAAAAAGACAAAGATAGTTAGAAGCTAAAGCCGAACTATAGGCTACAGATCACAGTGTAACAGTGAACCACCACATCACTGCTGATCGCCACAGAAGACAATGAATATAAAGGGGAACTTCGCTGATATTGAACCAACTGTGTGGCATCGCAGTGTGTGCAGATGAACGGTGTTTGGCTTTGTCCCTGTGGTGCTGCCAGCAACCGGACCTCTGCTTCCAGGCATGCAGGGATGTCCTGGGCGATAACACACAGCTGGTTCAATATCAGCAAAGTTTCCCTGCTTCCCTTCACTGGTACCTGTACAGCAGGGTCGGTCTTTTTTTCACTGTTATAATCATTAAAAAGCAAAAGCAGCATGTGTATACATTCAGTAGGCTATATCTTCAGTAGCTAGCTAACGTTAGATAACCCTACATTTTACAGGGTTTGATATTGGTTTTGGAACAGGGAGGAAACGTATATCTTTTTCCAACCTCTCCAGGTAACGAGTATCATTAACACACAATGTGCCCCAGGCACAACATTTAGCTCCAAATCCACAAAACCAGCCTGAAAATGAAGGAAATCTGAAACGATTGCATTAGAGTCAGTGGAGCGCAGCTGTGTCGTTGTCGGACCCTGGTCTGAGACGGCCTGATACTGCGTTATGATCGGCCAGTCTGTATCCGGGGGCGGGACTTAGCGAAGAGTCAATTGCTAATTATAGATTGAAAAGGCGCAATTTTTTTTTGTCTGCTGAGTGCTATCTGGTTTTAAAATCTGATTCATTTTACCACTTTAATAATGCCAGTCACACATATGTCATTTTATACTCAACACACATAAATGTATTTACTGTACTGGCCTTAGAAAACTCGCCTGTTTGTGCTGAAAGTCTTTCATTTCTTCTGGATATAAATCCTGAACCAACTGGTTGGATTCTGCAGCAGCAGCTTGTTGCACTACTTGTTCATTTCACCTTTCATTCCTGCTCATGTTGACGCTGACTCTGACCGTGTCATTAACTGATCTCCACTCACTGGGTGTAATTGTTTTCTGTGTAAAAATACATAACAAGCTTTTTAAAAAAAGAGAGAGTTCTTCCATGTATCCTCAGCTAAACTGGAATATTAACTTCTTACTTCACTAATGTCCTTCTTGCTGGTGGAGCTAGTTACTTTTATATGTTTTACAAACAGAAAGTGAAGCAGAGCTGCTGGTGTCGTCCATTAGAGTTGCTTGTGTTCACTGATCTAAAATGACAGGCAGAATTGAGACTGGATGATGCCCTACATCTAAGACTTATCTTTTTTTCCATTCCCTGTTTGTCTCCTACGTTTGAAAACAAACAGCTACAAATTTATTTTGACAAGAACGAAGGTGTGTTGATTTGCGTGGCGTGGAACCTGGACATTTTTAATGAGCCTACATTTACATTTAGCACCTCCTCATGTTTGCAAGAGTATTGTTTCAACAATGTTCAAACATATGAGGACTACGAGCACACGAAGCACGAGAACATTCAGAATAAACTAATGAGCTGTTGGGATTCACTTAACTGTATCAAATCCATTTTACTGTCATCCAGGTTTTTGTTGACGTTATTATTATTAGTTATATAGAAACTTTGATACGAGAAATGCAGCTCAAAGTGATGTCCATATTCACCTTTATACTAAAAAGGGAAAAGGATAATGCTGATTAACTTCAAATCCAGCAAAAATGATTTATAATGAGGGCAGTGCTGGTGATGGTGAGTTCATTAGCAGTCACTTGAAAGCCTGATTTTCTGTCCTCAGATCTGAAGGTAGACTGTTCCCGAAGGCAGCTTCACTGTCGGTTTCTGTTTTGTCTCTCTCTGTTTGGTGCATTGAACAGTGGAGAGAAAGATCGGACGGCTCCATCAGGGACTCATTTGGGAGCCCAGCGGGCAAGTCTGTGAATATTATATTAGACTTATAGACAAGTAATGGGATCCATCCTAAAACTAACTGGAGGACAGTGTGAGAACTGAAGAATGTGGATGGTGTGAGCTTTTTGTAGAAACTACGATGGATTTATAGACTTTTTGCAAGTCATGCAAGAACTAATCAGGCCTACTTGTAATGAAACCATGCATACGATCCTCTGTATCTCAGGTAATAGTGGTAATGTTTAGAAAAGAAACACACAGTACACCCTAACTTCTTTCCTGCACTCTAATTTGCCGAGATGGTGTAGTTAATCGTAAGAAAAGTTACTTCCCTTGCGCTCCTAGACCCAAAATCGAACCTCTCTTTACAATTCAGTCACCCTAATGTCTTAACTTACAGTCTCTCTAAAGCTGAGTTTATTGCTCTGGGCTGTAACAATAAATAAACCATCCTGAATAATTAAATAACAAACCTCTTATCAGTTTTATATTATACATTTAATTACTGTGATGCATTTGTGTATCGCCACTTTAACTCTCGCTTTATCTGCTCAAGTGGTTGTGTAGGGACTATAAAATGCAGAGGCTCACATAATTACATAAGAAACCAGCAGCAAAGCAAAGCAAGTCGCAATTGTCTTTGTCAATTAAGTGTTATTGTGTGTTTGAGCCATTATCTTTAGATAAGAGACGGGCATCTATATGTGTTTTCTGCAAGAACAATTTATGCCTTTGTTTCGAGTTAGAATTGCGCTGATTTTTCCAAATGCCAGGACAATATGGGCATTTCAGTTAGATGCAAATAAAATCTATGACCATGACGTAAACGGCAAAGTATAGCAACACACAAACAAGGCACACACTATAAAGGTAACAAAGGGATCTCACAGCCGTAAACTGTACATGACATGAGCTCCCAACAACGAGGGCTGTAAACACTCCAGGGCAGTTTAAGTTCAACCCAACAAGGAACCAAATGAAAAGTTGTTTGTGTTAATCACATCTCTCACAATGACATGAAAAGTGTAACCACTGCATTCATCTCCTCAAGGTTCGACTGTTGCTACTCTCTGTACCTGGGTGTAGGCTAGTCATCTTTAGCTCCATTTCCACCGAACGGTACGGTACACTTTTTTTTCCGTTTCCACTGTGAAAAGTTGTGGATGGTACAGATGGAACTGTTCCTAAACGTTACCGTTTTTGGTACCCCTTCTGTTGGGGTACCTAGCACACAGATCTGGTGTCTCGCTTGCAGCTTGGGAAGAATGCTGCGGTGAGACTCACTGGTGCTAGAAAAAGAGACAGCATTACACCAGTGCTAGCATCCCTGCACTGGCTACCTATCAAATACAGGATTGATTTTAAGGTTCATTTATTTGTTTTTAAAGCCATACATGGGCTGGCAGTATACTGCTGAAATGCTCTGCCCGCACTCCAGCTCCCGACCTCTTGGATCCTCAGAACAATCATGTCTTTTAACTGTCTAGTGATTGAAGCTGGTGGGCAAGATCCTGCCTTTGCAGTTGCTGCTCCAAAGCTCTGGAATAGCCTTCCACTCTCAATCAAGTGCTCCCCCTCCATTGACACTTTCAAGACAAATCTTAAAACGTACATGTTTTCAATGGCCTTTGGTTGTTAATCACTGTTAATCGCACATCAAAGGAGATGCTCAGGTGGAGCAGTGATCCCTGTTTGAACTGTCTTTCTCTGTGAGCAAACAGGGCAACTAGGAAATATAGATAATGACATTTAGGCAAAGAAACATAATTTTGATGACCTTTGTAATAGCTAGTGCCAAGACAACATACATTATTAACAGCTATTAAACTGCCAATTTCAGAATCTGAGTTTACTTTGCCTTAAATCTTTTGTCATTTACCCAATCACTGACCTCTCTGACCACCTCTGTCTCTTTGTCGTTCGGCTTTATAGATGCTTCCACCTGTATGATGTCTGAGTGGATCACCTGGTCTCCCTGTAGTCTGACCTGTGGGATGGGCACACGTTCCCGGGAGCGTTATGTGAAGCAGTTCCCAGATGACGGCTCAGTCTGCACCCTGCCCACAGAGGAGACTGAAAACTGTGTGGTCAACGAGGAATGCTGTGAGTTTTCCCTTTTCCTTTCCACTTGTCAAACTGACCTACTGAGAGCTTCTTCTGTATCATATCATTCTATAGAGCTAATCTAAGTATCACTGTAGGTTTACTGTACCTTCTCTTTCCCTGTTGGCCTCAGCTCCCAGCAGTTGTCTGGTGACAGAATGGGCTGAATGGGATGTGTGCAGTGCCACTTGTGGTCTTGGCATGAAGAGGAGAGAGCGCATGGTGAAGATGCCTCCCGCAGACGGCTCTATTTGTGGAGCAGAGGTGTTAGAAGTGGAGAAGTGCATGATGCCAGAATGTCGTGAGTAGCAGCATTTTCAGGACTACCCTGACCACAGGCTGTATAAAAGAAGGGGATGTAGCCTCTGGGTCAATGCACAAGTGCCTTAAACCTGCATTGTTTCTAATGGCCAGCAGGGGGCAACCCCACTGGCTGCAACATGAATCAGATTGAATACAACTCTATGGGAAAATAGACTTGTGACACCTCACTTCTCACTGGAGTGGTTACCTCAGTAAACATTTTCAAGTCCTCTTCAATACAACATACAATACAATGTTCATTTTGTAAATTACGCTCCCATTTAGACTACATCAGACGATAAATGAGGGTAGGCTTTAGGATGTGGCTACTTTGTGATTGACAAGTTGCTACTACAGTGCTGTGCCTTGTGTCCTCGGGCTCTCAGTCAGATCCACTTCTTGCTTCTCCACAGCTCCACCCTTAAAATATAGTCGCTTCTGGCTCTAAAAAACTAAAATGATGAAGGCCAAAATACCAGACTCGAGGTTTCAGTATGGTCGTCCACAGACATCCACTTCTTTATACATACTGTGATCCTGACACCTCTAACACTTTTGTCTCATTAAGCAGCTGGATACAAGGGGCTGGTAGCCTAGATCCATGTGAGGAGCACTGATGATGAGACAGTCTTACTTTTAGTTTTCCCATAGCAACTCTCTGAACTTTAATCAAGGAGGATTTTCTTTCTGATTTAACTCCTAAACAATAAAAATCAGAAAAACAAATCTTTCAAATCAGCTTTTCCTTCCATAAAAAAATTGCCAGATGCTGTTCTACTTTTTGAAACATGGGTTTGATGCTAAACTACATCTGAACATTAGAGCTATGTGTTACTGACTGACTCCTGTTTCGCACAGACACCATCCCCTGCATGCTGACTCCATGGTCTGACTGGAGTGACTGCAGCGTGACGTGCGGGAAGGGTACAAGGACACGACAGCGTGTGCTCAAGTCCCCCGTGGAGCTGGGAGAGTGTACGGAGGAGTTAGAACAGGTGGAGAAGTGCATGCTACCAGAGTGTCGTAAGTATTTCTGTCTGCACACCCACATACTGTACATATATAATTTATGGAAATGTATGATAATTTCATCTTTGTTATGCAACCTGGTGCCTTGATGCGGTTACATACACTACTGATGGGGGTTGCACAGTGAAGAGAAAGAAGGTCAACTACCTTTGTGCTGTGTACCTGATCTAAATTTACAGTAATTTGGTGCTTGCTGGTGTATATGAGAAGAAACAGATGAGTTCATGTGCTGTATTCATATTTAAGCTTAAATTAAAACTCCTGCAAAGTGCTGTAGAGGATTTGCAGTAGTGCATGAAACATGACTTGGAAAGTCTTAATGAGAGGTCTAAGATTAGGAAGGGATTATAAAAAAATGTGATGAAAATAAGCAAAGATTTTGAGGTTATTCAGAGCTGTAAGACCTCAGTGGAATTTATTACAATGTGTATGAGGTAATGTAGAAACAATAACTACATTAACGTGCACAAAATATTCTGCCTTTTGCCCTTATTTTTAAAAAGATAATGTTCCTGCTAAGCTGTTTGCATGGCTAATGGAAATGCATATTCCAGAAATATTCCTGTTTAATTCAGTCGTTCAACCTTCAGTAAACGTTCCCTGACATTTTGTGTATCACGTCAACTTCAGCTGGTGGTGAACTTGTTGGATCATGCAAACACAGTCTCCTCTTTCATTCCTTTAACCATCTTCTTATAAAGGTCAGCACTGCACACAAATGCAAACTCTGCACAGCCTTTCTGTGTGAAGTTTACATGTTCTCCCTGTGCCAATGTGGGCTTTCTCAGGGTACTCCAGCTTCCTCCCACAGTCCAAAGACATGCAGGTTAATTGGTGACTCTAAATTGCCCGTAGGTGTGAATGCGAGTGTGAATGGTTGTCTGTCTCCAGCACCACCATGACCCCTAACAGGATAAGCTGTTACAGAAAATGAATGAACTGTGATATCTGCACCTATCTTAAACCCTGCTGATATCCAAGTTTTTCATAATGTTTTAAAGTAGGCGTGTTTCCTCATTCAGCCAGAAATGTGGGCTTTTCTTTTGGGCATGCATCTCTACTCCACAGCCTTAGAAACTGTTGGCTAATTGGTTTGTGTACAGCATATACATGACGTCAACCAGAGCTGGTGTGAACAGGCAAGAGGCCATGTGTCACAAACTGCAGTAAAAACCACAGTTGAGATGCATATTTTAAATGTGCTGTATACATGTCCAAAGAATGCTCCTAAAAGCTGAATAATACCAACATATCCCACATGTCTTAATGATTTGGAATATCTAAACAGAATATGCTGTTCACAAGACCAGAATCAAATTCACAATAGTCATATTTTGAATTAAACTGAGCCAGTGTCTCTATTAAATATTTTTCCTTAAGTTTATTTTCCACATGTGCAGGATTTTTAAAATCAGATATTATAACTGGCTTCAAAAAGCCAGGATCCATTGTACTTTTTAATCCACCGTTTGTTTTTCTCTGTTAAATTATGTAACAGATATTCCATGTTGAGCTGTGTGGTTGTCAAAAACTGCCTGAAGCAGAGGCATATTTTAAAGCTATACACACTTTATTATAGATGAAATGCTCTGGCTTTTTTTTATCCTGCTTTCATTAGATAAATGATACTTGAAGCAACATAAACTGTTGCCAAACCAGCCAAAACATGAACCTACCAGGAGAAACCTAATTTATCACAGCGTCCCCCACAAGGATTCTAATTTATGTACAAATCCATGTTGTTGTTTGTGGACTTACAGTTGTTAATATATACTGTATGTATTTATTTTTCATGTCAGAGTGTATCACTTACAGCAGTGGTGAGGATGCAACATCAGAGCCATGTGAAACAAATCACTCCCTTTGGACTCATATATAATCCATGACTTAGAGTACACAGAGCATTGAATCAAACTCTATCGTCCTCCTCATCAGTTTTCTGCTCTGTCACAACTTCCTCTAAACCACAATTCTTTCTCCTCAGCCATAAACTGTGTCATGTCAGAGTGGACCGAGTGGTCAGAGTGCAACAAATCCTGTGGGAAGGGTCACACGATCCGAACACGCATGGTGAAGCTGGAGCCGCAGTTTGGAGGAGACACGTGTCCTGAAACCATCCAGAGGAAGAAGTGTAAGATCAGGAAGTGCAACCGGGGACAAGCTAACAGTGACGAGAAGAAACGCCGCAAGGAACAGCGGGAGAAGAGGAGGAGCAAACAGGGCAGAGCTGAGGTCGCTTCGGAGCATCCAGGTTGGTATTCGCCCTCATCAGTACGCAACACAGAAAATTAAAAAAATTCTGATGGTCTCTTTCTTTTCCTTTTTCTTGATTTTCGTCTTCAGGGTGTAAAATGAGGCCGTGGTCGAGTTGGACGGAATGTACCAAGCTGTGCGGTGGAGGTATTCAAGAGCGGCTCATGACAGTGAAGCAAAGGTTTAAGACTGCCCAGCTGTCCAGCTGCAAGGACAGGAAGGAGATCAGGGCTTGTAACGTGCACCCCTGCTAAGAAGCAGTAGGGGAACAGGGTGACGTGGAAGGGAGGGGGGGGGGGGGGGGGGGGGGGGGGGGGGGGGGGGNGGGGGGGGGGGGGGGGGGGGGGGGGGGGGGGGGGGGGGGGGGGGGGGGGGGGGGGGGGGGGGGGGGGGGGGGGGGGGGGGGGGGGGGGGGGGGCGGTGAGGCTGGGAACAGGACAGGGCATGGCACACTGTCGCACAATGATCCAATGCACTCTGTTTAGGGCTGTAATGGCGCATGCTTGAAACTGTCTGGGTTAAATCCTGAGCTCGGGTCAGTTGTCATCGAAAGAGGATGAACTGGAAGACTCTGGATTTAAACTCGGCCGATTCTTCCGTGCTTTCAAACGAGCTCTTGTACGCAGACGACTCTTTTGCAAGATTACTGTAAACTTGTTGTGGTATAATATATCTTGAAAAATATAATTATGAAATATAAATTGATTTAATAATAAGATAAAGAACTGTTATATCTTGTGGTATCCTTCAGTAGTACAGTATACTCCAGACTTTAAAGCACAGGTGCCCAGCCATTCCAGTGTTTTATATGCCTTCAATTGTTCAGTTGTTTCTAGGACACAAAATGCCCAGTTGGCTTTTTACCCAGCTATAATGTTGTACATGTAGATTCACCACGATTGAGATCTATATGATTTTGAGCATTATTAGAAGATTTTGTTATTTTTTTGCTGTGGAATTTTTTGATAAGAATGTGTCCCAAGATTCTTACCAAAGTCTTGTGTAGATGTTTTCTAGGTGTCTTCTCCTCCTTTTCTTTATCTCTGTTCCTCTAACATATTAATATTTTGGAATAATATCACCTTTACAATAAAAGTAAATGTGACAACTTGTCACCTGGATCTGTCTTTTTATTTTGGTGGACAAAGGTGTAATGTCTTTTTCTGCCACTAGATGGCGAGAGCTAGCTTCAAACCTTTGCCTTGCATGAGGGAAGTGGTCAGTCCTGATGATGCTGTGCTGTACCAGCTGACTTATCACTTATCTCCCCCTTGTGCCTTTCTCCATAGATATATAAGCCACAAGGGGGCAGTGTGATAAATAGAAGACACATTCAAAATTCCAAAGGGGTATTTTATTAATTTTTTTCATTGTAATTTAATCAGTGTTGGAAGTCGGACTCAGATCACTTGCTTTGGTAAAATAGCAATAGCACAGTGTAGAAATACTCAGTTACAAGTAAAAGTCCTTCATTCAAAATTTGACTTCAGCAAAAGTACAAATGTTTTGCCATCAAAATATGCAACATATAAAGTACTAAAAGTAAAAATACTCATGCAGAATGGCCCATCTTAAAGTAATATATTATTGATATCATTGATAAATTGAAAGCATCACTTAAAGGTTGCAGCTGGTAAAAGTAGGGCTAATTTTAATTACTTAAACTGCTGTTTAGCTTAATCTATCATAATTTATCATATTTTATTGGGTAACAAAATTGAAGTACTATTTGTAGTATGGGATAAAGTATCCAGTATTTCCCTCTGAAAAAAGTATTGCTGACATAAATTGTTATTGCTCAGGTAAAAGTGCATTAAATTGTACTTAAAGGTCCGGTGCAGTGATACTCAACTCATGGCCGGCAGACTAAATCTGGTGCCCGATAGGGTGCCAGGTGGCCAGCCGAACATTTTCTAGTTCACAATGAAAATAAATTGATTCACACTGGCATTTTCTTTAATTTGAATGTAAAAAAAGAGCTTGTTTATAAAAATAATTTTTAAAAAAGGATCCTGCAGACCCCCAACAGAGTTTCAGGCTAAGTCCTAAAATCCTAGGAATGTCCTTGTGTACAGCTGACCTGTGAACACCTGACCTGTGCAGGGCTACTAGATTTGCCTCATTTATTCATTTCATCTGATAAATATTACTATTTTTTGTTTATGAAGTGGCCCCTGGCCTCCCGTCTATTTGTAAAAGTGGCCCCCAGGCATAGCAAGTTGAGTATTCCTTGTCTAGTGTTTAGGTTTTAGTGGCATCTAGTGGTGAGGCTGCAGAATTTAAACCTCATCTGTGTACCAAATATGGAGGAGGATGAGCGGGTGTTTGGCTTGTCCCTTCTGTGCTACCATAGAACAACATGGCTGACTCCATAGGGGAGGACCCACTTCATATGTAGATGTAAATGGCTTATTCAAAGGTGACAAAAACACAGTTTTCCTTTCCTTTTGGGTGATTAAAAACTAATGAAAACATAATTATGAATGTTATTTGCTATATCTATCAATAGATGCGCCCAAATCCTACACACTGGACCTTTAAGTACAGTAGACAGTAAATATCCATAGTTACATTCCACCACTGAATTTAATATACAAGTGATATTTGAAACCTGCCTAAAAATGACCAGGATCATATGCAGTACTTTATGTTTCATACAGCAGCAGTAGTACTTCACGTCAAAAGGCAGCGGAACGAGAAAATAATTTAATAGTAATGGTCTTCTACACAGAAACTGAAGAGCATTCAAAGGTCTTTTATGACACTACAGAGACGGCGCACTCGCACTCGTACATTTAACCCACATGTGAAATCCACCCTCTCCCCTCCTCCCTCCCCTTTACCTCCTCTCCTGTGTAAAAGGTGGGGGGAAGGGATGGTGTGAGGCTTTCCTCACTGTGGGGACAGGGGTGAAAAATTCAATACACACATCACAATGCCATTCCTGTTTCCATGCCAACACAACCACACATGGGGAAAGCCTACACACTTCACAAGCGTTGGAAACATGGAGGGGGAATTTTAACAGTCGTGATTGAGCTGTTAAAACAGAAAATTGCTGCGGAGACAGCGACAAGAGGTGAGTGGTTAAAAAAAAAAGGAAAGAAATGGACAAAGGGTGTGTATTTGTTTATCTCTGTGTGTGGTTTGTTGTAAACCCCTCTAGACCCCAGCCAGTGTAGTGCAGTGCAGGCTGGTGGTTATTCTGAGATCAGACTGGAAATCAACTCAAAGCTGCAGTTGTGCCAGTAGACCCTCCATGTCTCTGTGATATTATAATGAGTTTCCTCTGTCTGTGGACACAATGATGAATATTTATATTCTGGGTGCAGGCCACACTGGTGACATAAAAACTGATCTCTCCAACCTCTCTCTCATTTAGCCTGTTTCTCACTGAACCTCAAAGGTTTCACTAAGTGTGGGAAATATTCTGCTCCATGCTGGGAGGACAGAGCGACTCTGCCACATGAGTTCAATAGCATCTCTTAGCATCTCTCATCTGAAAAAGACTAGTTTTATTTTTGTGCCTCAAAATCTATGTGAGGCAAGATTCATGTTCCTGTAGGTTACTGCAACACTCTTCCCTATTTCAAAAATGCCACTGTGTGCAGTGGGTTTATGCATAAGGGGTTAATTTACAGTATCAATAAAACTCATTGAACACAGACCATCAGGCTCCAAGTCTCTGAGTGATTTTGTATAAAGCCAAGTCAGAATCTTGTTAAAACTCTTGCCTCTTCATCACAAATACTGACTCAACCTGTGTACCAAGTCTGCAACAGAGATGCTGTTCCTTTAATTATCATCTTTCAAACTGTGAACATCTGTGTGCAGTGCACATCTAATAATGAACCAAAGCTATAAATAGATTACCTGTGAGAGATAGAGGGACTTTTTCTGTTTAACATCATGACTACTGCTATAATGGAGACAGTTTTTTTTAGCTAATGCTAACTTTAGCAAGCCAACATGCTTATAATGACAATGATAACATGGTGATGTTTAGTAGGTATGCACACACCTGCCACTTTATTAGGTACACCTTGATAGGACTGGGTTGGACCCCCCTTTTGTCCTCAGAACTGCCTTAATTCTTTGTGGCATAGAACATGCTGGAAACATTCCTCAGAGATTTTGGTCCATATTGACATGATAGCATCACACAGTTGCTGTAGATTTGTCATGATGTGATTCTCCCGTTTCACCACATCCCAAAGGAGCTCTATTGGACTGAGATCTGGTGACTGTGGAGGCCTTTGGAGTACAGTGAACTCAAGGTAATGTTCAAGAAACCAGTTTGAGATGATGTGAGCTTTGTGACATGGTGCGTTATCCTGCTGGCAGTAGCCATCAGAAGATGGGCACACTGTGGTCATAAAGGGATGGACACGGTCAGCAACAATACTCAGGTAGGCTGTGGTGTTTAAACCATGCTCAGTTGGTACTAATGAGCCAAAAATGGGCCAAGAACTTGATGACATACTATTCAATGACTTTTTAATTACATTTTTATGACTATTTTATAATAAACCATACTAGGGCTTTTTATGACACTTCTAGGACTTTTTTATGACATACTATACTATGAAATTTCTATGACTATTTTAGAACACATCCTTTTTTAGAACATTTTTAAGATTTTTTTTAATTTTGATGTACTTTTTTATGACATGCAATACTGTACAGTGTTTTGACATTTTAAAGATCACTATACTATAACTACACAAGTTACTTTTGTCATGACATTTTACGACTTTTTTATTACATTCTATTCTGTGACTTTCTTATGACATACTATACTATGACTTTTTTGCCATGGTATACTATGACTTTTTTATGACATACTATACTATGACATTTTTTGCCATACTATACAGTGATTTTTTTATGACATACAATACTATGACTTTTTATGACATACTATACTATGACTTTGTTATGTAATACAATACTATGACTTTTTTATGACAAACTATATTATGACTTTTTATGACATACTATACTATGACCTTTTTATGACATACTATATTATGACTTTTTTTTATGACATACTATACTATGACGATTGTTTGCCATACTATACTATGACCTTTTTATGACATACTATACTATGACCTTTTTATGACATACTACACTATGACCTTTTTATGACATACTATACTATTACCATTGGTTGCCATACTATGACTTTTTTTTGCCATACTATAATATTACCATTGGTTGCCATACCAAACTATGACTTTTTTATGACATACTATATTATGACTTTTTTATGACAAACTATACTATG